ATCTATCTATCTATCTATCTCTATATCTATCTCTCTATCTATCTATCCTATCTATCTATCTATCTATCTATCTATCTATCTATCTATCTATCTATCTATCTATCTATCTATCTATCTATCTATCTCTCTATCTATCTATCTATCTATCTATCTATCTATCTATCTATCTATCTATCTATCTATCTATCTATCTATCTATCTATCTATCTATCTTATCTATCTATCTATCTATCTATCTATCTATCTATCTATCTATCTATCTATCTATCTATCTATCTATCTATCTATCTATCTATCTATCTATCTATCTATCTATCTATCTATCTATCTATCTATCTATCTATCTATCTATCTATCTATCTATCTATCTATCTATCTATCTATCTATCTATCTATCTATCTATCTATCTATCTATCTATCTATCTATCTATCTATCTATCTATCTATCTATCTATCTATCTATCTATCTATCTATCTATCTATCTATCTATCTATCTATCTATCTATCTATCTATCTATCTATCTATCTATCCACTCTAATCCAATCTTATCTAATCTATATATATATATATATATATATATATATATATATATAGATATAGATCTATATTAAGCGTCTTTTGATGAATAATAAATTTTTTGTTGTACTCACTAAAGCTATAATGAACAAAGAAATTAATTGATAATATGATTTCTTCTGTCTTCCTCTCCCTCTCTTTCAGAATGATTGATATTTTAACTATTTGATAAAGTATAATGTAATATATTATGATCATTAGAAATCATTCAGCTGAGTAATTCAATATTAGAAAAGTAAAATCCCAACGAATGAAGGGTCACGTAACGTGAACTTCTCTTATTATTTTCTTTTGTTTAATTGCTTCATTTAATTGACGAATGAAGTATGCTATGAGCGGTCTTTCAGTTTATCTCCTCATTGTTTTATTAATTGTTCCATTTAATTGTTCTAATTAAGATTTTATTAATTGTTAACAGTTTCATTTATTTGTTCTGATTAAGATCATATTAAATTTCTATAAAACATTCCTATTTTCACATTATAACTCACCAAAATACGTCTCTATATCTCATGCCAATTTTATTTCGCATTTTTTGTTTTAATTCTAATTATAATATTTTCATATAACATTAAATGTTTTATGCCAAAGAATTAAAATGCGAATTTAAGTTTGTCGTTTCGTGCTATTTTCTTTCATTTTGCAAGTAGCAAAAAATAAATTGATGGAATATAAATCATCGAATTTTACAAACTGACTATTAATTCAAGTTATGAAGTAATTTGATCTTCTCCGTTCAATGGATTGGAGACATATCATTCTATCCAGACAAAATAAATTGTTTAATTTAATTCAGTAATCGTTAATAAGGAGTGTTACATCTTTGAACACTAAAAGTCCATCTCTAAATTTGTAAATAACTCTATATTAAAACGTTAATTGTTCAAAAACTATGGTTGAAGATTTTAATTATTAGGATTTCAGATTTTAAAAATAATTAAGGTCAAATTGATATGAGTTGAACTTTTGATAAATTTAGCGTACGTATAGAATTAATTGAAGAATACAGTTTGTGTGTCATTTAAAGAACTTGTTTCCATAGTATTTGAAAGCTGATGTAATGAAAAACAAGCGTCAAAAACAGTTTTAATTTATTACTGAATAAATAGACAAAAGATATTTGTGATTATTGAGTGTAAGCAAACACAAATATAGCAGTCTTTTATCTTCTTGATTATCTCTTTTAGATAGTTTGAATTTCGTGAAAATTTAATGAATTTGAAAATAATGATACTTTTCCTTCATTTATGAACTGATCATTTTCTCTCTTTGTTAGCATTTTCACCTTAGTGATAACTGAGCAGTGATAACAAAGTGATCATTAATGTTTCAAATTCAGTAATTTAAAATAAATTTTTGTTCATTTCGTTTTTTTTTTTTTTCAATGTTTAGGTTAATTTTGATTAAACTATTTGAAATTTAATGTTATGTAATGAATTATATTATTGACAAGTGAGTATAATAAAGGATAATATTATCTAAGAGATGGTGAAACACATCAGAAGTCTAAAAAACACATCCTATTATTGGCTACTTAAGGATTCCAAAATTTTCAACTGTTTAATAATAATATTATATATAAAAGTTTAATAAAATTAAAAAAAAAATTGAACCCATGTTCTTTCAACTAAATTCGAATTTCATTATTATTGTCAATTACTACCTTCATATTCAATGATCATTTTATAGTTATACATGCATGTCACTACTCTGTTTGAATATAATCTATCAGTAATTGTATGCATTTACTTTTGATCATAATTTCATGATCACGGCCATTTCCTAACCCCTAATCGCTTATAACTATTATTAGAGTAGTCTGGAATAGGCCAGTTATTTCAGACAAATTCATTTCGATGCAAATTTGTGAAAGTTTTATTTTAACAGAAACTAGAAAAGAATTATTAATCGTTAGAGAAATGTTGACAATATTTTTTCTCATTTCTATCTTTTGATCGGTTCTATTCATCAAATGCATTCTGATCTTTATTGCTCACATAAGAAGTATTATTGACTACTTGAAAATAATTCTGCAAAAATGGCCAATAAAAAGGAAAGTATTTTCAAAATTATACATAAAGTATGCTGCAAAAATGAAATGAAGAGAAATATTACCAGTTGTAGACAATTAACTAGTTAACTAATTAATGATACAGTTAAGTCTAGAAATGGATTATGTTAACAGCAACATGGAGAGTTAATATAATGATAGTGTATGACTTGAACTTATGTGTGAAATTCATTGCTTCAATTATATTAACTATATTAATTATCATTCCACTGAAATATTGCAGTTGTAACTTATCATTAACTAACCATGGCTGCAGAAAGAGTGACCAATTCATCTTAGTGGTCAAAATGTGCATCGTTTGCACTCAGTGGTTTTCCCTTTACCAACCATATAGGAAAGGAAATGGTCAACTGATGACCAACCAATTTTTTGCTTTATTCAATGATAGCATCCGATTTTTGCTTGCTTATATATTATCATTAAGGTTTTGGTACTTACTTTACTGCCGATTCTAATCATTAGTTAATGCTTAATTCTTTTAAGAGTGAAAATTTGTCATCCTTAAGTGAGTAAGCGATCATATCAATTCATATTACTACTATACATATTGCAAACTGCATATATAATAATATGGAAGGTGTTACTTCAGATATATGTAAATATTCTGACATAAACTAATACAAGTATTATTATAAATAACATTTATCACCTTTTTATAATGCTACCTTTAAAATATATGCGATTGCATGCATAAATGCATATATAAATTTCATATTGCATCGTTGCGATAATTTATTTCAGCCGTTTCCGATCGCAATATTCAATTTTTGAAACATCGTAAAATTCGGTAAGCATTACATTTGGTTTCAATTATTGGTAATGTACTGCTTCTTAGGCTACTACCTCTCTTGCTACCGCTTCCACCGTTACCGCTCGTCTTAATGATAACGATAGCGATATTTAAAACGACATGTAGAAGGAGAAGAAATAGGAGTTACTTAATCTTTGGTCAGCGTTCTCTTCCAACCTTCAAAAATTTTTCTCAATGATAGGAGCTATTTGATGAAAAAACTTCTTGGCAATATATATAGCCAGTGTTGCCATCGAATTTATCGTTTGCAGTTGAGTAAACAAATTTGACAATATAATCATTTCTTTTGAATTTTGATACCTTTTTTAGTAATTCAACTTTTTTTTTCAGTTACTCCTCAAATTATCTCTCTAATAGAAACACTAATTTCTCTCATTACCAATTTGCAGCGATAGTTAAAATATGAGTGCAAGAAATTGAATTTTCAAAAAATGCCACCAGGACCTAAACAACTTACCTATGAGACGAATATCTTTCCAATACATTGTATATAAATATTGGAAATTCCACCAATTCCATTTCCAATTACTGCTTTGACATGCAAAAAAAGCTATCATCGTTTTATTTAATTGGAATCTTAAAAATGACATTACTTTCATCTTTTTACCAAATTAATTATCATTAATTGTTTAGTCAAGGTTGTTTAGGTGGATAAATGCTAATTTAATTTTATCTAAACTTTTTGGTCTAAATAAAATTAAGCTAAAATTAAAATCAGTTCAAACATCTGGCTTATATAGTATCATATGAATACCATAAGGAGAAACATATGGTCTTCCACTATTTTCACGATACTATTATTTAACTTCACTTCACTTCATTTGCTCTAAATTTTATCTCATTTGCTTGACAGATGTGTATATTGTTGTCACACTGTTGTCGAACAATTTATTCAATCACATTTAAACACTTCAATTCCTTCCTTCATTTTCTTGTTTGTTTTGTAGATTATTCACCTTTTTTTTTTTTTTAAAAAAAAAAAAAAAAAAAAAAAAAAAAGATTTGTTTATATTGGAGTAAAATTAATTTCAATTGATGCTGTTATCATTTTAAGCATATTGAAAATGAATTATTTAGAGGTATTCTCATTTATTTTTTTTTAAATGTTTGCACTAAAATAATTGTTCATACTATCTATATACAATGTACAATAATGCATGCTTAATCAATTTGGAATAATTTCTATTCCACTTGCTTTTATCTGAACTCAACTTTTCATCTTATACTACAACAGCAATGATTGATAATTTATTCATCCATATGTTTCCGTCAGTTGTTAATATTAATTTTAATTTAGCTATTAATAATAATTTTTTTCAGCGTTTTTCGAAATGGAACAATACGATGAATTGTAATTAAATTCTTATGCAGTATTCATCAATAATATATCTCATAACGAACTTTACAAAATTTTGCTTTTTTCATCATCATCATAAAACATTAGAAATATTTGCTTGTTATTGATAAGATAAATTTTATCAATTCAATTATCAGCCACACTTGCTTTAATCAGCAAGATTTTAAACAATGCAACGGCATATGATTAGGTGAAATTTTAATCATAATTGATAATATTTATTATTATTATTATTATTATTATTATTATTATAGCGATATACGTACAATAAATGTGTCTTTTTTGCTTATACAATTAGATCAAGTTGGGTTACGAAGTTTCCTGTTCTTTTCTTTTCTTCTGTTTATTTGAAAATATTTGAAAATTAATTATTTAAACGACTTTGTTTGCAGAATACTGCATCGCCAGCCATGTAGGACAAATTTAAGAGTACTACAATTAATATACATTCTAATTTGGATAATTGAAATAGTACTGTCACAACCAGCGGAGCAGAATCCATCAATTGATCCGAATCATCATATTCCAGGTCCCAAAAAAAAGAAAAAAAAAAACTTATGATTAAGAGATGATAAGCACCATTTATTGATTAGATACATACTTATCGTATAATTAGAAATGATAAATTAATTAATTTTAGGAAGTAGTCCATGTTACGATGACATGAATATTCCACAGCGATGTGTACCAGATTTCATCAACGCTGCATTCAATCTTCAGGTTGAAGTAACTAATACGTGTGGTGTTAATGGACCTGTAAGGTTAATTTATACATTCGAATTGCACGATTCAATTATTCATATTCATACCCAAATTATAAAGCTAAAAAAAAAAAATCACTAACTTCTGCAACTGTTAAAAAAGAAAGAAACATGAATCGGCATCATTTAAACTTGAATTATTAAGAGAATAAATTTTGACATTATAAAAGATGAACAGTTTTTTTGTGTGATATTTGATTATCATTATTATCTTCTTTCTCTGAACCTTTACCTCATATAATACGTGCCATTTTTTTTAAAAAAAAATTTAATAGAATATTTTTCAGTTATTGTGTACAAACAGGTCACAGTGGCGTACGTAAAGTTTGTGATATCTGTGATAGCAGGGTTGAGGTGAAATGCTTTTATTATTATTTTTTTTTTATATTGGAAACAATTTTTGCTGATAACTTGTCTAGTTGATTTTCATATCAATGTCCCTATCAATTTATATATATATATATATTTCTTATTTTATAATGGAACAATTTTGGCTGTTCGATATTCTCTAATTTCAAATCGTCTTTGAGTTAATTATTTGAAACGATTAATTATGGTATGTGTTTTAAGCACTGTACCAGATAACTATAACTTATTTAGACATATGCTCATCCTCCCGCTTATTTGACTGATTTTAACAATGCTAATAATGAAACCTGGTGGCAATCGGAAACGATGAACGAAGGTATGCAATATCCAAATAGCATCAATTTAACATTACGCCTTGGAAAAACATTCGATATCACTTATGTCAGATTGAAATTTGTCAGTCCAAGACCAGAAAGTTTTGCAATTTTTAAGAAAACTCACCCTGATGATGACTGGATTCCATGGCAGTATTACAGGTCAGCAAATTTAACCTTTTCTCTTTTATATTTTATAAGTAAATTATTTCTCATTTGTGATGGTAAAAGACATTGGGGTGAACAAATACTTTTTCTAAGCAAATAGATGTGTTGAAAATACTTTTCTTTTGAAGTGGATCATGTCGTTCAACATATGGAATACTCGAGAAAGCACCGATTTTACCGAGTAATGAAGCTGTAGCACAGTGTACACGGGAATTCTCTGATATTTCTCCATTAACTGGCGGTAATATCGCATTTTCAACACTGGAAGGTAGACCTAGCAGTCAAAATTTCGAGGAGAGTGAAACACTGCAGGTTTCGTCTTATATTACTTGCTTGATAATGGATAATATAGTTGATAGTAGTTATTTGATAATAGTTACTTGATAATGTCATCAAAACCACTTGATTATCCAAGGTGGTCATTCGGTTTATTCAGGTGTATGTGGACATGCTTTTTCCGTGATTACTTTGTAGCTAGGCTCTAAACAATGTAGCTCCATTAACGTGGCATTAACATTTTGTTTTGCTCACAATTTTTGATGAAATCATTTTTAATTCAACGTTTTTCACATACTACTTGCACTTAATGAATGGACTTTCCTATGAAAAAAATGCAGGAATGGGTGACAGCATCTGAAATACGGATCATGTTGACACGGATGAATACATTTGGCGATGAAGTGTTCCGGGATGCAAAAGTCTTACGATCATATTACTATGCTATATCTGATTTCGCTGTTGGTGGAAGGTAATTAGATTGTTTGGGTGAGAGAAAAATATTGAAAGTTAACTGTCATAAAATTATACAAATTTAGTTTAAAATTTAAAAAATTATATTAACATAAGAAATGGACCATTATTCCGGTTCGCATGCAGTTCGTCCTTCCAATACATCTATTTCCATTCAAGATAAATAATACTAAAATATTTGCAGGTGTAAATGTAACGGACACGCGAGTGAATGCGTGAAGTCAACAGGTGATGGTGAAGATCGTTTGGTATGTCGGTGTGAGCACAATACTATGGGCGCTGATTGTGACCAATGCTTACCTTTTTACAACGATCGACCTTGGCAGGTTGGAACTGCAAAAGAGGCAAATGAATGCATTAGTGAGGTTTTAATCGATTAATGATAGCAATAATGATAATATGGTGATAAGATAGAGGGTTATGATGATAAGAAGGAAAAATTCTCAGTCAAGATTTCTCTTTCTTGTCTATTACAGTGGAATTGATTTAAATGAAAAAATGATAGCAATGTTTTGGAGATTTTTTCAAATTAATTTAATTAGAAGTGTGATGATTTCTTATATCTCTATGTGCACTTTTCTACAATTAGTTACTTTCATCGTTTAAATAATTATTACTAGCATTATTATTTAATTTTTTAATTACAAAATTTAAGCTGATAAACGTGGGAAGCAAAATATTTCCCAAATGATATTGCTATTGGTTATCTTTCCTTGCGATGTCAATGTCAATATCTTCGAGCATATTTTGACCTTTATTTTGTAACATCTTTCAATTAATGTTTATAATTTTTAGCTTGCAACTGCAGTCATTTATCAAATCGTTGCTATTTTGATCAAGCATTATTCGAACGTACTGGTAGTGGTGGACATTGTATTGATTGTGCTGGCAATACGCAGGTATAATACTTCACATAATTTCGTCTTCCTGTCAGTATCTTCTTTTTTTTTTTAAATTTAAAACTGAAACGGGAGATTGAAACTGAAACGGAAATCATTGTTAATCCTATTCTTTCTTAATAATACAATATAAGAAATGTTCATTGGTAATCATATCTATATATTTTTGAAAGTTAATCTAATAAAGAGAAACAAGCGCAAATTAATTATTTGATATTATTTAATATGTAGTAAATCCATCAAAAAATAATGCGTGGCAATCAGTTTATATCAGGGAATATATTAGTGAAAATTGTATTCGCGTTATGATTATAATAAAATTAAGAAAACTAAAAAAATATAAGTTTAAATTAAATTTTGAAAATAATATTTATCGATGTGTTATGTATGCTTTTGATATTTATATTTCAGGGAGCGCACTGCGAAGAATGCGCACCTTTTAATTGGCGTCGTCCTGGTGAACATTACTGTATTCCATGCCAATGTAACGAAATTGGATCACTGAGCATGCAATGCGATGACCATGGTCAGTGTCCATGCAAACCTGGAGTGGATGGTCATTTCTGTGACCGTTGCATGAGTGGATATTATGGATTCTCGATTAGTGGATGCAAGTATGCGTTCATTTGTAATCAGTGCAAGATATTTTTAAATCAATCAGTTCTTAACGTTTCTTAACATTAAAATTTAAAAATGCAATATTTTTCCCATTAAAGATAAGAAACTTTAGTGTCGTAATTTTAGGAATTGTTTATGCGATAAGACAGGGTCATTGAATAATGAACCAGTATGTGATTCGGAAACAGGTAGTTGTAGCTGCAAATTAAATGTAGAAGGACAGCAGTGTAATAAATGCAAGCCTGGATATTTTGATTTGTCGTTGGACAATCAGTTCGGTTGTACGCCATGTTTCTGCTATGGTCACTCGTCTATCTGCACCAGCGCAGATGGCTATTATGGAATGAATGTGAGCAGTAACTTTGATAGTGGTTCGTTAAGTGTTATCATTTTCAATCTTCTCTTCTACTTCTATTGTTATGTATTAGTGATGGAAATATATGATAACATTATCAAAGCTATTCGATTCATAAATGTTAACTCAGCACTTTAAATAATACATTTCTCTTAATTAATTATGTATATTAGGGAAAGAATTTTGGAGTGCTGCGTCATTACGTGGACCAGAAGATATTCAGTGGGCTGAAATGGATAAAGCTATCGCTGTTTCCGATATTGATGGATCACCAGTTTATTTCGTAGCACCGATACAATTTACCGGAGATCAGCGAGCATCATATAATCAAGACTTATGGTTTACGTTGCGTGTGCAGAAAGCGCAAGTACATCCTAGCGCAAGGCATATGCTTTTTTTTTTTTCATTCAGTAAAGGATGTAAAGATCACTCTTACCTAATTCCTGTTCCCTTAATTTGTAAATTTCACTGTCGCCTAAAAGTTTTTTTTTATTTAAACATTTAAAAAAACGGAAATTATCCTTCATCGCTTAACTTCTAATTTTTAATATTTCATAGAGTTTAATATTTCAGTTCTGAAATTGTGTTTTTTTCTAATATAAGAATGCTTTTTTTTTGTCATATGGGTTTATCTGAAATGTCCCATATTTTCTAGGGACATATTAATTGTTGGTCAAGAAGGCCAGGAGTTAACCATACCAATTTTTGCTCAAGAAAATCCAATTCCATCTGTAAATGAGCAAACATATCGTTTCCGGATTCATGCAAATCCGGTATTTCAGTGGAGTCCACGATTGAATGAGTTGGATTTTATTGGGATTCTTTCCAACGTTAGCGCTCTCAAAATTCGTGGAACTTATTCAATTGAAGGTGGTAGTTTAAAATTTTTTCTACGGAAAAAAAATTATTACTTGATGCTTTTTCTGTTCAGAAATATCTGATTGTTTCTAAAATGTTTCTTTCAAATGTATCTAGTTTATTTTTATTTCCAATCCTATATATTTTCAGATGTTGGTTTTCTGAGTAATGTTCACTTGGGGTCAGCTGGTTTGGCTACTTCTGCTGATGAACCACGTGAAGCGCATTGGATCGAATCGTGTAACTGCTTAGAAGGTTTCATTGGACAGTTCTGTGAATCATGCGCTCCCGGATATCGTCGCGAAATAAAATATGGTGGTCTATTCGACCGATGTGTTAAATGCGAATGTCATGGACATTCTACTTCATGTGCGCCAGAATCAGGTTTGTGCAAACAAGTTCAAAACTTTCTTTTCTTCATTCATTCAAAGGAAACTTGGTTTTGGTTTAAATTAATTTGTAATTTTAGGTTTAAAATTATTTTAAAAAAAATTCCAACTGTAATCAAAAAATTCAAGATGTGACAAAAGACCTAAAATTGAATGTTCATTGGATGTTGGAAGATTCTTTGATCAAAAAGAAAAATACAAAAGTTAATGTATGAAATATTTCAGGTGAGTGTATCTGTGAACATAATACCACAGGTGATACATGCGAACGTTGCAGTCGTGGTTATTACGGAAATGCACTGCAAGGTACGCCGGATGATTGTACTAAATGTCCTTGTCCAGAAGATGGTCCCTGTGTCTTGCATACTGATGGCGATATTATTTGCACTGATTGTCCAACCGGATATACTGGCCGAAGGTAAGAAAGATTATATTGTTTCATTACAGCATGTGATTGCATTCCAAAAAAAAGAAATCAGAAAATTAAGGGTATGAAAGAATTGCTTCCTGAAACCAAATTATTAACATTATAAGCTTGACCAATGCTGTACCATCATGTACCAACCACTTTCTCTTAAAGAGCACAATTACAACTCTCAAATTTATTCTTTAAATTCATTTAAAATGAGAACTGAAATTTGATTCCTTTAAAATTTTATGGCTTCTCTTAAAATTCTAAATTATCATTGTGTCGAGAAAAAGAGAGAGAGAGGGAGAAAATTAAAAGAATTTTGCTTTTTTTTTTACACTAAAAGCAGGACTTAATAGGATAGTTGATAAGTTGTAATATCTATTATGTTAATAAGACATGCAATGAAAGAAATTCATTTCAACATATCTAACTTCTTTAACTAATTCAGAATTACTTCCGCCTACTCTAGCAAACTACTATTCTCCAAATTTTCCTTCTTTGCTTGTCATTTGTCAAGATATTAAGATAAAGAATGAGAAAGTGGTCAAGTATAGTACTTAAGAATTGAACAGTTTAAATTTTCCATTTATGGAGTGATGGCTCTTCCCTCGGAAATATCACAAGACCAGTAAGTATAATGCATGCATGCATGCATACTATTCAGAATATTAAATGCAAGTTTGGTAATTGTAATTAATGCACTTTGCGAAAGTTCTTCCCTAATAAATGAATAAAGAGTTCAATAGAGATTCGAAAGTATATCACAAGGGTCATATTTCAGATGTGATGTTTGTGCCGATGGTTTCTTTGGTAATCCGGGCGAGGGGAAATCATGTGTGGAATGTTCGTGTAGCGGAAACATCGATCCTAATAGTATCGGAAATTGTGACTCATTGACTGGTGAATGCAAAAAGTGCATTTATGATACAGTTGGCTTCAACTGTGAGGAGTGCAAGCCAGGCTACTGGGGTGATGCACTTTTGGAGCCAAAAGGAGATTGCAAAGCGTGCAAGTACGTTTACTTTGCATATCTCTCATATCATTTATCAAAAGGCTTACTCATCCGTTGATATTATGGCATTCATTTGATATGATAATATAACCTATTGCAGCTGCTTTGCACCTGGTACTAAACGTTCCAACGTAGATTACGTTCTGCTTGAATGCCGACAAAGTGACGGTCAATGTAACTGTCAACCGCACGTGATCGGGTCACGCTGTGATCAGTGCCAGGTGTCTATTCCCATTTACCATTTTCTGACTTTTCCCACTTTTAAATTAGCTTACCAACAACCATCACCACTACCGCCACTACCATTACCCCCACGAAACAGCACATAACAAATCGTCCTTTTTCATCGATACACACCGGCATTCTGTGTGACTACCCGTCTGGGCTTCTCTTCGTCTGTCTACTATGTATGCTAGTAAGCGTAAAATGGCACTAGCTAGTACGAAGAGACCATCATATTTCACAGCTAATGGCTCCTACGAAAAAGAAATGACATTGTACTTGTAGTGTAGTAGTGTCTTATGAGTCATTACTTGTCCATTTCTCTCTCTCTCTTTCTCTCTCCTTGTCTCTTTCTCCTCTTAACCTCATCTGTCCACACTTTGTCTTTGAAAATTCGTAGAAATTGAAGAACAGAAACAGAAAAGAAGGAAGTGAAATTTGTAAGTATCTTTAAAAGATTTAAATTAAAAGTAAATTCATTTAAAACTACAATTCACATGAATTATATGTATAGTTGAAGAAGAAAAAGAAAAAAAAAAAAATGAAAGAAATTAGAAACGAATAATGATGGAATTTATGGATTGTAATAGAACTATAATAAGAGAGAGGAAAAGGAAAAGAAAACCCGGAAGTTAGAAAATAACATATATTTTTTGATTGGTTAATTTCCGGGATTCTTTTCAACTTTTCTCCTCTGCTTTGGGAAATTAGTAGGATGATGTTTTAAAAGTGCAAAAATTCCATTGGTGTTGTTCCTGCTTCGTGTTACAACTTTTCTTCCTGCAATCAACAGAGCACTTATAAAAAATGAGACAATTGGTCTGATCCTGCCCATGACACCCTCATACACACACCCGCATACCCACAACAGACACAGACACATACTACTGGACACCGTATTTGATGAGTATTACCATTGTGGCACCGCCCTTTCCGTGGTTTTATAAAAGAACGTTGAATTTCGTGCGCTATTCGCACTTCCCCGGTGCTATTACTACACTATTACTACTATTACTACTACAGCTGAATATTTCGACTTGTCTTCTTCATAGTTCACACTATAATATGTAGTAAATGCTTTCAGAATGTCTTCTTTGCCTATTCACATAAAATTGCTTTTGGGCGGTAAAATTCATTTTCTATTATCAGTTGTAAAGCATTCACATTAACTTTTTAAATAACATTCATGCAAATAATTCTATGAGTTTTTGTTTTGTGTAAGATTTGGGCAATGGTTAAATTAAGCTGAATAGATCAATCTAATTCATTCAGGCATTTCGTTCAAGTTGCCAACTTGGATGGACAATTTAAGCTATTTGTCTTTGTAAGGCTGCTTGCTTCACATATATCTTCTAAGAATATCCAACGGGCAATTTCAATTTATTTTATGAATATGTGCGGATTATTAACTTTTAGGTTAGATTAATATAATTTTGGTATCATAATCGATATACATCCATAACACATGGCATATGTGGTAATCATTTGATATCAAAGTTGTAATCAACGAACAGATGGATTGAGTAACATTTAGCGCCTCAAACAGAGAACCTTCTAATAGCACTTCTACACACATGCAGAAGCATTAATGACGAATGTACACATGCACACACACACACTGCTATGTCAGAAGCGCTTAGCTTCTACAAATATGCATAGTAGACACGGACAACGGTGTTTACATACATACACATACACGCACATGTACACCCAGAATGTGTACTTTGCGCTTTATATCCAAATACAAATGTTTACAAATGAGTAATGACGTCAGTTGGTCATTTTCTGGACGTCCAATAGACGAATACTAGGCGATGGTCATCGCATGTTACACATTGCTGCTTATGCATCAATTTCAGTTATACAGATGTTATAACACTGCATGAATGCTAAGCGACGAGAATTCCTCATTTTCAGATTTCAGAAAATTTCATTCTCAGTCCTTTTTTCTGAATGAATAAATTGAAATGGCACACACCAGCAAGAAAATTATCTTCAGAAAAAAAAAAAAAACTATCTCTTTTGGAGGAATATTATCATCCTAACATTTTTTATTATCATTTACTCTTCACAAACTGTTTTGATTTAACCACAATAAAACATTCATCTTGTTGATATTAAAACTTATACACTTGAATATAATTACAATTTTGGTCGCTTAATATCGGGAAGTAATCTAATCTTAATTAAAATCAATTATTAAATGATCTTTTTTTAGCCTGGATACTTCAATTTAACATCCGGAAGTGGCTGCCAAGAATGTAATTGTGACGTACTTGGTAGTGTCAACAGCACCTGTGACGTGTTAACCGGGCAATGCTTGTGTAAAGCTGGGGTGATGGGCCGCAGGTTTGTTTTTTTTAGAATCTTTGTCATCCACCAAATTAATTTTCACTTCATTGCTTTCACTTTTTTGAAATTGTCTTTTTTTTTGATTTCTATTATGTTCTTTCTCTCCATCACACACATACACACACATGCATACATTATAAATTAAGGATATCTGAATATTTTCATTTCAAATTTATATTTAACTTTTAGTAGAAAAAGCTGTTGCGAGGCATTTTTTTTTCTAATGTATGAAGAAATTTGATTAAAATATTTAAGGATGTAACATATTTGTTATCATAAACATTTTTTGGACCATAAAATTTTGTGCATCGAATCAGAATGTTCGTTGACAAAAGTTGTAAGAATGATACTCGCGTATTAATAAGCAGGATATTTTACTTATAACACTGACTTTTCATTAAACATTCAATAGAAAATGTAGAAATATAGCTGACAGAATTATTTGTCAAATTTATTCTTGGAAATTCTTTTCAACATTAAGAATTTTAATTAAATTTAGCAATTCTTATCTGCAAAGAATTGTCCTTTTTTCTTGATAAGTTTCTGGAAAGTTTGAGAGTAAAAAGTGAAGAACTTTAATCATTGTAAAATTTCGAACATATTTCGATCTTTTGCTGAATGGTTTCTTTTTTAAAAAAGTCTGTAGAAATTTTATAAACTTACATATTAGCATTAAATTAACAACTGTTAAGACGAAACACCAAATTGCAAATGATTTGAGTAACACTGTATTAAAAGATTTTATCTTACTGCTATCCGTTTCATTCAGTGCAATTTACTTCCCGATCCTGGAAAATGCAAAAACCGGATATGCCGATTTCATAGTTCATATTGTGTAATTGTAATGCTTTTTTGCATTCTGCAATACTTTCATTTCTTACTTATTTGCAAAAAAAGAAGTTTCGTAGAAATGAAAATTTATTTGTGGCGTTTCTATCTTATTTCACTTTTGTTGTACTTTTTAAAACTCTCCAATGCCTAGCAATTGCTTACACATAGAAAGAAAAGAAGTAGATAGAGTGTTTTTTCGACATTCTTGCTAATATTAGGTATCATTGTGAGCTACAATCATTGCTAATATTTCGCAGCAAAAAAAAGAAGAAAAAAATGTTAAAAGGGCAATATGAAGTTCAAAGATTGGTGCATAATTTTAACTTCCATTTTTTTTTTTCGTTTTTGTCGTTTTTACAAAATATATAATAGATAAGCAAGATTATAGCTAATAACATTTTGAATTTTTTCATTTTTTCCATGTTCCTTCTTAAATTCTCAATTTAAATGTGTATTATATAAACTAAGTTAAACATGTCATTAGAGCCAACAACATTCGCTGCTATGCTGCTTCACTGATAAAATTCAGGAAAACTTTTTGGGAATAAAATTTATGCATATATAATATTAATTAATAACAAATGTAAAAACTTTCGCATGTTTTTTAAAAAAGAACCAAATTTCATTTAAGAAGAGAATTGAAGGCTTTAAAATTCCAATTATTAAGTTTCTAAAAGAAGAAATTTTTCCTTCATCAAATTTAATTTTTATCATAAGTTGACAGTTGACAAAAAACAAAATTCAATTTCAGATGTGATCAATGTGAACCACAACATTACGGTTTTGGGTTAGATGGTTGTCAACCGTGCGACTGCGAAGTTATTGGATCCGAATCACCTCAATGCGATGTTATCACTGGTTTGTTTAAATATAGATAGCATACTTCCCTGTTAAGAAATGATTAAGTTAGAAGAAGTCATTAAGAACATTCATTATCTCCTTAATTGTTGATTTTAATTTTTGGGAATGTGCATACCTTAATTCATAATTTTATTAGTTGATACGGAATAATTACTTTTGTTACTAATTGTTAGTTTATGCTGTAGTTAATATTATACAGATCTACTTTTATCGTATTTTTTCTACTCCATCTTATTTGAGGTTTAAGAAACGATTACTAGAAATTGTGCTTGGAACAACTCTATAGCATAGTTTTTTTTTTTCTAATTTATCCTTTTTTCCCAATTTAAATTCATGTTTTTTTTTTTTTTTCTAATTTAAATTCATGGTTTTCATTTAATTTAAAACTTTCATAAGCTGCTACTATTTATGATCATAAAAGCATAAGATACAAATAAAATTCCCGTTTAATTGTTTCTACAAAAAGACAAAAGTTTCTACAATTATTACTATGTTATTATCACATAAAGAAGGTTTTAAATGTATGTTCTGTTTTAGATTTGTGAGTGAAATGATATTATTCAGAAAAAGACATAGCTTATTTCAGGCCAGTGTTTATGTCGTGATCATATCGAAGGACGACGTTGCGATCACTGTATTGAAAATCGTTATAATCTTCAAGCTGGTTGTTTACCGTGTGATGATTGCTATACATTGACACAAAGTCGAGTACATGCATTCAGGAATGATATCAGTGTGCTGGAAGAAACTCTAAAAGAAATTGTCGAGAATCCTGCACCGGTTGTTTTAATTTATTAACTTCACCTCTTTTCTTTCTTTTTTTCATCGCCAATTGATAAACTATAGAATTGTTTTAGTAAAAGAGACATTAAGAGATTCATTTATTAGATAGAATCCTTTTCTCAATAAAAATTTTGAATTTTTCGATTATATTTTAAACCAATGAAATAATTTTTCTGCTACTGATCCATTCATTACTGGCACTATTTTCTGTTAAATAATGGATTTTGTAGGATACCAAGTTAAGCATTACGATAGAAAAGGTTTTAATTCAGTTTGATTTAAATAATTATTAGATAAATTTAAAATAATGTGCTGAAAAATTTTCCAAAAATGTACTAAACAATTTCTTCTTAATATGATGGAGCGTTAATATGTCTTTTTGCAGGTTGACGACGTGGAATTCGATAATTATGTCAAAGCCGTCAGTGCTGAAGTAGAAGATTTGGCTAATGTTGTAAACAAAAAATTGGGTAAATTAGAAACTAAATATTCATTTTATTCTTATATTGTAAGTTAATTTGCTGACAAATAATTGATAACACATGTTGAACATTTTATGCATTATAGAGAGTTCGACGATGGCGCAGTTGTCCGTTAGGCCAAATCAAAGTTATTTTCTCCTAATGAGATTCTGCTAATTAAGTAGTCAGTGGTACACTAGGAGATGTTTTCTAAGAATATAATTTTCTAAATTTTTGACATATTCTATAGGATATTTTCAGCTGGTGGGGATTCGCAGATTATCGAACAAGTAAATATGCTTAGGAGCGATTTGAAGAATGCATTGAAATTGCTAAGCTCGGTTGATGATATTATCAATAAAGCAAATAAAAAGGCCACTACGATAGACGAAACATTGAAGCAATGGAATCTAGTCAAGGGTTATTCTTCATCAACTAGCCAAATTAATTAATTTGACTAATATTTTATCTCTTTCGAAAATTGGGGACTGACTTCATTAATTTTAAAATATTTCTCGATTTTTATTCTTTTTCTGCATTTACACTGTTGTGTTAAGCTTTAAGTCAATGGGTTTTTACCTGGATATGTATATTTTTTCATGACTAAAATTAAGTAAGCTAAGATTTAAATCAGAAGAGGAAAGATGATACCTTTTCTTTTCTTAAGCAACAGTCTTGATCTTAGATAAATTAGCTTATATTGAAATCAAAATTTACAGATCGAGCACGAAGTGATTTAGAAAATGCGTTGTATTATTTGGAAACTGAAGGAAAAACGCAATGGGAATTGGCGCAGGAAGCATCTCGAAAATATGGTGAACAAAGCCAGCAAGTAATTCTTATATTACTTTAAGAATTGTTGATTTTTTCCGAAATTGCATTTTTGCAGAGTTTTTATATTATTTTAAAAACTTTTAGAATTATTAGGAAAAGTGTAATGATGATCATATTCCACCACTGAAGGATGAAATTGAACTGAGTGGTTGACCGTTACTTTTCTATCTTATTTTTGTTAATTTCTAATGTCTTTGTTAACGAAAAAAAGAAAGTAGCCCTTTTCAGTTATCGGAAATAGCGCAAGAAGCAAGAAAATTAGCTGAACAGCAAGAAAATCGCAGTATTGAAATTGAAGCATTAGCTGAGAAAATTGCAAATACCTCTAAGCAGGCACTTGTTGAAGCGAAAGAAGTGATCTTTGGAGGTAAAAATGAAATCATTATAAATTTAGCGTATTTTAAATTATTGCTATAAATGTCGATTGAAGGTTTTGATCTGATAATGTGAATGTTCTGGCGATAGAGATAATATTTATGTTCAATTTAATTGCATCTATATTTTAGCTTGAAAAAACACTAAAAAAAAATCTGAAAAAACAAATGGTTGAATTTTTATCTGCTGAACGGTTTTTATTTACTTAAACCAATAGATCTCATGCTGAATCAGGGAGTTATAGCGATGAATACTTTACTTTTTGTATGTTAATATTTCGTACTGTTACTCTGTTAACTTATCAAAACATTTGATTCAATCGATTAATTTTCTTCCTTGACAGTTTAGTTGGAAACTCTCGATATTATTTTCCTTTTCGTGCACCATTGAATATTGCAAGTGTTATGAAGGAATTAAATGCTTTAGCATTCGGATTTATTCAGGTGATGCTACTAGCAAAGAAATTGCAATTATGATGGAACGTTTAAATGCAACCGAAAAACTGCTGAATCAAACTCGTAAACTTGCTGAGGAACAATTAACAGAAGCAGATCGTGCATACAAAGCAGCTGCAGAAAGTTTAACAGTTGTTGAGGGTTTGCGGTTACCGAATATTGATCCACAACAAGTTAGTATTTTATGTTGCAAATAATTAGGGACAAATAAATTTAATTTATGATTAATACTGCGCTTCTGTATTTTTAATTGTTATTGAGACTGAGAAATTCGAGAAATTAAATCTTGAAGTTTTTGATTTATTATATTGGTTTAAATGATTGTATTTATTTCTTTATTAATATTAGATCGAAGAAGAAGCGAAACGAGTCGCAGAGGATGCTAAAGCTACTGCTGATAATGCTAAGGAACAGGCAGCTGCTAATAAAGAACTAATAGATGAAGCAGTACGATTAATTGCTGAAGCAAAATATGAATTGCAAAGGGTTCAGGATCAACAAAAAGTAATTACTTATACTTACTTCGTTGCTTATTTGTAATCTGTACAATCCATATCTCATTATTATAATTTATCGTCTAAACATTAACTATATGAAACAGGTATGTATTATCTAGGTTTCGGATGAACTGCTGGCTGACGTAGATGCTGCAAAAGCTCGTGCTATGGAGGCTGTTTCGCTTGCTGAAAATACATTAACGGAAGCACAACATACGCTAGAAATACTGAATGGTATTCATACCTCAAATTTTTTAGTTTTTCATTTTATTTTTCTACATTGGTAATAATCTTTCTTCAAATCTAGCACTTTAATTTAGGCCTTTGCAAATTTCTCTTTCCGTATGCTTTATCGACTTTTTTCAAATAAGATGAACAGTGATTTAGTAGGAATTTAAAGTAAGAAGTTAAATTGTAGCCTATGAGAAGTTTTATTTCAGATTTTCAAGAACGAGTAGATGCAACTAAATCAGAAGCAATCGAAGAACTGAGAAATCTGAAAGAGATTGAAAAAGAAATTGCTTTAGCCGAGGAAACAACTCGAGAAGCTGAAAATGCTATCGGTAATGCCAAAAATGACGCACGGATGGCTGAAAAAATTGCTTTACAAGCTGAAAAAGAAGCTAAAAGCATCAGCAAGGTATTTATAAATTTTCTTTTTCTTTAAATTAATTCTTTCTAAAATGATAATTTCTACATGAACACACTTCGAACTTTGTTATAATCGAATTACGGAATCAGACGAAATACGGATATTTCAGATGTTTAACATGCATTATATTCATTTCGAATTATTTATTTCATTATTGACATTGCTCAGGTAATTCTGTTTTAAAAAACTTGTCTAAGAGTTATATCTTTTTTAGGAGGCATACGAATTACGGAATCAGACGCAATATGTTCGTAAAACTGCAGAACAATTAAAATCAGATGCTAACCAATTGGTCAGTGATGTCAAGGAGACAAGTACAACGATGGAGGATTACAGACGACAGGCTAGTAGTGATAAAGCTCGTGCTTCTGAGGTATAACCTGGACAATTTTTTTTCATTTCATGTTTTTCTAATAATAGTGTGCAAATTTTACTTTCAAGTTTCACCATTAAAAATTATTTAAAGGCAGTTCAAAAAGCTCAACTTGCGGAGAAAGCTGCTGAAGATGCGAATAAAACTATCAGTGAGGCGCAGGATAGCCTAAGAAGTATTATTAACCAACTCAGTAAGTTTAATTTCACTGATATTTCATAATCTGAAAAGTTTTTTCCAACCTTTCTTTGTATCTCTTTTTAATTAGGCCGTTGATAATTCATTCTCAAAAGGATAAAAGTTGCAGAATGATCATACACATATACACACACACTCACAAGGAAACGTAAGCTAATAATTTCAAACAAAATCGCAAAATAGATTTTTTTCTTCAGATTCCTTAGATGGTGTGAATATTGAAGAATTGGATGAACTGGAAAAACAATTGGATCAAGCTGAAGAATTGTTAAACAGTGCTGATTTAGATAAACAGGTTAAATGATTTTTTTTTTTTTATAATTTTGTTTGTTGAGATTAGGAAAAGGAAACACTACTCATTTCTTAACTTGTAATTTCATTTTGCTGATAAGGTTTGAAATTGCTTGAACAGTTGGTATTCTTTTTTTTTTTTTTTCAGTCATTTATATTAAGTACATTTATTTAAACAGCATTATGCGATGACAGGTTTCTCATTCGTTTTTGTTTCCGATTCTTTCCTTTTTTTTCCAGAATGGTTATTTGATTTCATTCAAATCAACGAACGATATTTTTGTAGGTATCATTGCTCAAAGAACAAAAAATTGAGCAGGATCGCACAATAACGCAGTTTAGAAATGAAATCGATACTTTAAAAGACGAAGTGCAAAATCTTGAAGAAATACGTGATTCATTGCCGAACAAATGTTTCAATGTAATTAATTTGGAACAAGAGGGACACAAATAGAATTGAAATTGGATGAAAAAAAAAGAATTAAAATCTTAAAATATTTATTTTGCATTTGTTTAGAAAGTCAGATGTTAGAGGACGACGTTTTTATCACATCGATCTCATTTGTTGGTCTCTCATTCCTGTTCTCCCGGAAAATAGTTTACAAAATTCTATAGAAAATAAAATGGGTTCATTAAAAAATGAATTAAAAGACGAATGGCGAACTTTGAAATTTAAAATCAGTCTTCCGGTGGAGAAATGCATTATTTTCTCTTTTTTGCAAGAAAATAAAAAGAATCATTTTGTTTTTCTTTTTTATTTTGTCATGAACTTTATGGAAGTAGCAGTTATAAGCAAAATTAGAAGAAAAGATGAATTTGAGAAAAATGACTGAGATTATCGGTATTCCGGATGCATTATTCTAAACATTTACTGAAGCATTAGCTCAATCCTATTGACATCTGTTCTTTCATGGTTTTTTGCTCTTTACAGGATAATCTTTGCAATTCACTACTCATATTGTTAAAGATTTCCTCACCTTATTTCATTTGCTTTGTTTCTAAATCGAAATCAGAAAGAAATAACTTGAAATTATAGCTGAATAAATAACTTATATATTCAATTTCTTATTGTTACTGTGTTATTCTTGTTGTTTTCATTCTTTAATTGTTTTTATGTTTAATTTTCCAATTTTTGTTTGTTTTAGAAAAAAATTAAATTTAATTAGTGGAAGGAATTTTCTAGGCATGGAAATTTTAGCTATGATTTTTCTTCAAATTTTAAAGTACTGCCGTAATTTCTTAAAACTTCTTTGCATTCGAAATATTATTATTTTTTTCCAGAAATGCGATTCTATTCCTTCTATAACTCGATCCAATCTAAAAATTTTTTTGTTTGGTGGTGACGACAAATACTATTTAACTTTTCTAGTACTTTTTTCTATGATTGCCTGGTATAAGAAAATTTCCATCCTAATAATGAGAGAAAAGAAATTGATATGCCAGGTTTTAGACTTCAAATTTTTGATTCCCAGGAAAGATTCGTGCTAAAAATTTTGTAAAGTTTTGCAAGTTAACTAGCATTACCGGACAATCCATTAATACTTTTCCCATATCACTAGTTTATATTATATGAATTAAATTAACAATTTTCTTTCAAGTCCAGCTCTATCAACTGCCCTTTGTGTATAAAATCAAACTCTCCTCGTCCCTAGTTCATTTATGATAGTCTTACATTATCATCCTCATTTTTCATTTGTTTCTTAATTAGACAGTAATTGTTTATCATTTTACGCTTTTATCATATATATTATTTATACACTGTGCCTTTTTTCTTTCAATTGTGAAGGCTTTTTTTTTTAATTAAAATTCTGAGATCACTCACCTAAATTAATTCATTCTTTGAGATTATTTCTAAATATGTAAGCTTTTTCTAATTTAATCTCTCCCACAATTGACTTTTTTGATGAGAAAATTCATTAACACAGTCATTCCCCTTTACTTTATATCAAATTGAATCAAACTAGGTCTATTATTTCAGTCAAGCTTTATTTCTCATTTCTTTGCTGATCTACTATCACTAGAAATGTACTGGCTAGTTCTCGACATGAGCGCCATCATACACGAAACTTCTCGGCCACTCGAATCAATTTCGTTTCTGGGATTGCTGGGACTGTCCAGTTTCCCAGATCATATTATACCTTCAGGTACTACCTGATCAATTTCTTCTTTACATACTTCTTTTCCTCCCGCTGCTTGTCGACATGAAGTTCGAGATAAAATTGCTCGTTACTTTACCATTCTTTAAGCTTTTTCTTATATTGTTATGGAACAGAAACCGAAATTGTAAAACCACGCGCTTATATTCCTTTGTTTTTTTTGTTTCAGTTTAGATTGCTTTACTTCATATCTACAATTAAAAGCACTTTTTTTCCACTGAGGAACATACATCTATTAGCAACACTGAAATATGGATAGACCCAGCTGACCTCCCTATTATTTCCCAGTTACTCACCAAAGATCGTTCTAAAAAATATTCTTGTTCCGAACACGAAATTTAAAAAAAAAAAAAAAGATGATTTTCATTAAATTTCTGAAGAAAATGAAATTTTGATAAGGAAGTACATAATTAATTATAAAAAAATCGTAATGTCATTTTCCCCAGCTTAAACGCAAATGAATGGATCTTATTTATGTGGCAAAATTTATTTATTCGATTAGACTTTATCCAACGGTAAGGGATCTATTTAGTGATACGCTGCCATTTATTGCAGTCTGTGTTTTTTGTCACTCCATTTAAAATGTTTTCTTCATTACTTTTGTTGCATGGTGGCATATTGTGCAGTGGCATACGCTTCACAAAGTATGGTAAAAGAAGTTCAGTAACTCAAATCATTTTCTTCACCGATCAGTAGTACTCCACAGAATTAATGCAAAATTTGTCTACTGAATGTCCGTATTCCTAAGAAGTATTACTCTGACATCACTTCAAGCATTAATTTTACTCTGAATCAATAATACTGTCAATAAAATAATCCAGTTCGTCATCAGTTTTTACGCCTTCGAAACGTGCAACAACTTGACCGGATTTCACTGCAACAACAGTGGGTACAGCATTCACATCATAATCCATTGCCACATCTGCTGCATAATCGACATTCACTTTTGCTAGCCTAATCTGAAATATGCTTAATTCAAATAAGTTGAGCGAATCCTGATGCAGCACAGTAATGAATCTATTGGACTTCTGAAAAAAACCCAAATACCGGAATACATCTTTGACAAGTGAAGTACATATGCAATAAACTCACTTTTATTGGGTGTTTCAGTAAGCTTTTTTTTGACTGATAATTTTCATAGACTTACAATGATGTGTCTATTATGGGTCTGTGAAGAAAAAAAGTCATGCTGTATTCCCCATTAAAATCAGACACTTTCTATTATGTTTATGACAAATTCAAACAAATGAAGTGTTTACTTCATGTAACATCACTTACATTTCCTTCTCGACCAACAACTTTGGCTTCGATTCGCGGTCCTAGCATTTTACATGGCCCACACCAATCAGCATAAAAATCAACGAGTACTGGGACAGAAGAGTTCATAACCTGCACAGTACAATAAAAATGATTGCTCATTTCACTTGGAAACACATTTCGCAAAATTCCTGGCAACCTTGATAAATAGATAATTAGATTCTACTACGAAGTAACTAGATTATAATAACTGAACTTAACAATCATTACGTTGTTTATTGTAGGGTAATTCAACAACATGATATATATTGCCTCGGTTTGAAAATTCTGAACGATTATTTGCATCTAATTTCTTATCAAATCTGTTAATGAATCGCTAAAATGAAACGCATTTAGCAATAGAAACTCAATACAGAAAACAATACCTTTTCTGCGAAATCTTCTTCGCCTTCAATGTTAAAGATAACAGCCAATGACTCGTCATTACAAAATCTTCGAAAGAGCACAGAATCCTTCAACTAAAAGTGACGAATTTTGAAATATGAAGATAAAATTTAGAAAGACAGAAAATTAACACAGCTATTAAATACTGCCCGCACGATCTTTAAGACATAATTTCCAGAAACATAATTTTTTCCAATTTTCAGTTATGCATCTGATTTAATATAGGTAGTGAAAAAATTTCCGCCAACGATTCATCCGTATTTTCTAAAAACGTGGATTAGACCTTTTTTTGCTGCCTGAAGTTGACGTATGTATGAGGAACCAAATGGAATAGATATGGAAAAAAAAAAACACAATAAAAAAAACCAAAAACATGTGACATAAATTAATAGCATGAAAAAAAAGAAATAATATATAATGCAAAGAAAGAATAAAACAAAAGAACTGTGGAATGGAAAAGACAACCTTTTAAATAGGTAATACTAAAAACGTACGGTAAGTCCATTATTGATTCGCAATCCTTTCAACGGTAATTTGATAAGGTGTATTGGAAATAATGAATAAAATCGCATGCTTGATGAAGCGATACACTGACCAAGAAATAATTTATACATACGATACAACTGTAAATGTGTCCGTGAACCCGTTAACATTTTACGTGACCTGTAATTAAAACACTCAAGAGTCTAACAAAACATCTATACATAAGGGTGCAAATCAGTCAAACCGAAAATTAATTCTGACTATAGTATTCAAGCGCTAGAATCAAGCTTACTTTTAGAACACTATAGTAAACGTAAGCCATCGTGCTCAACAGTAGAAGTTGAACTGGCAGCAAAACTCGGCAATTGATCACATGTTAATGTGAACATCGACCAACCGTAAGATGCAGCTCAGTCCAAAAGGCAGGGTAAACTTACAGCAGCGAAAGGTAACCCTCTCTATTGAATTCAATTACATTTTCGCCATTCGCATAAAATGGAAACATCGCATCTGTCAGCTTTTATTTTTGATCATTCTAATCTTCTTATCTTATATCACTTCTACGCTTTGACATTTGGATAGTTGATTGGAACTATTCCAGAGACATATTTATGTTCTGGTCATTGAGATTTAGTAAGTAATAGCCTTCTGTACTAGTTTATTCATATCCCTTAAATTACTTGTTAAGCCTACTTATATCATACTTTCACATCTTTCAATAATTCACTTTTTGAAATTGCCTAATTATTTTGATTTTAGTTTACTTTATTTTACAGTATTCGATAAATTAATGGATAAATTTTTTCTTATTTAATTCGATAATATAAACCATAAAAATACCCATCATAATGGCAACAAAATTCGAATCACTGTTGATAGTACTCATTCATCCGGTTTATCATTTTTCTTCAGACTTCTTTGCCGCTCACTGGATGTTGTGCTATTTTCACTTAACATATTCATTTCCTGCATGCCGCTATTCTCAATGTGAAATTGGTGATCATTTCGTTTCGCTATTTTAAAGATGGCCTCTTCTGCTTTCGAATGATGATGCATCCATCTGAAATACATCTAGAAGGTTAATGAAATTGATGAGAAGCTAAACACTTTTTTTTGGATAGTTAGAAAATGTTAGAATTCTCCTAGAATTAAGAAAAATCAGTCAAAAGAATGCTCTCAATTGTACTGTCTATTAGTTATCATGTTGTTTATACATTCAACTGTATCATGAACCACAGGGACTACCTGTCAGTTCGACTCAGATGGATACATGAACAGTTTGCACTATTCTTTCAAAAGTCTACCAATTAATTGTTTGAATTTTTGATGAAAAATTTGCATATCCTTATGTTCTCTATATTCGTGTTTCTCTATATTCGATAAGTTGTTTTACCAAATCATGAAGGAGTCAAATTTATAAAAGTTTTCTAAGAAACACATTTTTCATTTCCTATGATTAGTTTCAACTTAGCTTGTTTTTTTTTCGCTAGATAAGTAGTTTCAACTTAGCTTGTTTTTGAACAACACGCTTTTCAATAAACATAATAAGCTTTTTCGAAACATTTCTTTTCAGTTACTTGAGTATTTCAACTCCAACAAACTTGAGCATCATATTCACACTCTAATCCATTCTTTCAAAGTATCTTTCCAACTTACTTTCCAAATCGTTCAAATGCATATCGAAATTCTTCAACATCCGGATTTTGCTCATTCAGTAAATTACAGAAATATTTGAAGACTTTTTCCATGTTGAATATGTAGCTGCAAAAATGATTTGCATAAGAGTTCAGCTAGTTGAAAGAAGATCCCTATGAGAAATTCTGCAAGAGTTTCGATTTGCATGAGTGATTTACATAGCATTCACTGACTTTTTCAAATAGCTGGTAAAATTTAGGAAGCTTTCATATTACTCCTTTTCCTTAAAAAATCCAGTCATGCATTTTCTTATGGTTCATAAAGATAGTCTCCATCAAGTTTGTAACTACTCTGCATACTGCACTGATCGCTGATTTTTATTATTTTTGTCTTAAAGTTAGTTTGATGTTATTATGCATTAACTTTCTGATTTGAAAGCTTGTACCACTGAGGATCATTATCGAACGCTCGGCATGTGATATATGCAACTGTGCGTAAGCCACATGACCACATATCATCTTGTTTTTCGATTGCAATTTCATATCGTACTTTTACTCCATCGATCGGTGATAAGTGGTTGAACATATTAAAAATCTGTTCCGCTAATCCACGATTTAACTAAAATTCGATGGAATTTTAATGCTAAGTTTTTTGAGATGTACAACTTATCACAAACTTCCCTAGTTCAAATATAAGATTTGGAAACTTCAAATCGATAACCTACCGCATTCTTGGCCTTTTTTCTAGAAGTAGCAAGAGAGTCAAATACGATCACGGTATCATCAACAAGTGTTCGTTCAACCAGAACATAGTGCTCACGTTTTTGATCCAAAAGAATCTGAAGGACTGGTTTTCTGCCAGTTATGAGCCTATCCAGGTTCTGTGGGTCTAGCTGAAAGAGATTTTGCTTATGAGCGAAAATCTCAGCTAGAAACATATCATTGTAACTGCGAGATCTCTGCTTATCTGTTATAAGGAATTTTTGTATAAAACAAAAAGTTTAACAATGCTGACCTTTACAGAGGAAGTTGAGGGAATAAAATTTGTGCACTGAATAAATTATTTCAACAGACTGATCCTGCTAATGATGTAATGAATGATTTAAACAACGATGATCAGCTCTTACTGCAATGTACTGAATGGCGAGCATGCCATCAAATCGATGTCGTAGAGCTGTATTAAGCTTATCACAATATTCGTTGATTAAATCATCCGCAATCCGTTCCCCATAGATTATCTAATCAACAATAAATTTTTAGTTCAATTTAATTTAGTTTAATTTAATTGCATTCATATATAAGTTTTTTTATTTTTTTTTTTAATTCCATATTTAAGCAAAACACTACTTCTTCGTTGTGTACTCGTCTTTTTGTCCTACTTATCGAACTCTTTTCCGTTCCACCGGTTATCCGGATTTCATCTTTTTGCTTTACGTGCTTCACTTTCTGAGAATCCTCTTGGGTGAGCGATGTTAGGCTAGCAGTGATGGAATTATTATCATCGGCTAGCGAAACACATGTAAAAATCTGTGATGGTAAACTTTGACATGTTCCAACATCTGATACTGACCTGGAAAGTTTTTAGGAGTTTGAAGTGTCTTTAAATGCTAGAAATAAAAACTTTATTTTGGGAAGAAAAACAATTGAAATTAGGTGAAAGGTTTTTGTTATAAAAGTAAATTCACTTCAATGTTAAAGTAAGGAACGAAGCGAATTATATTGTGTTTATACATGTAATGACATACTTCTTAGCCTATATGTAACTATTTAGGCTAAGCTAAAATCAAGCTGAAAAGATAGCATAAAATTGACAGCATGAAATAATTATTTCATTGGGAAGTCTATACTTGGAAATTTAGAATACCAAAGACGGGTATATATACTAAATTCATAAAGATATAAAAAGAAAGTTAAGAGCAGAATAGAACGATGAACTATCAGGATTTGATGTAAGTGCTAGTGTTATGAGCTAATCCTGAAAGAAGAGAAAAAATTCCTAAATTAAATAATCGGACGATTACTCTGCAACTGCTCAATAGTGATACATAAAAATGTTCGCTTCCCCAATTCTTTCCCAGAGAAAGATACTCACGATGACATTTCCACATTTCCCTCATCATTTGACGTTTTATCTTCTTTTGTCATCTCCCTACAAACGAACACTAGCAAGACAACAATGACTCTTGTAACCAACCAATTATCTCTTATACAATAACAAACAATAAGTTGCAACCTTTCAACCTTTCCAATTATATCCAAGTTTTATTCCAATACTATGCTGCAAACCAGGAAGGACACTTGGAATGTTTTTCTGGATACTGTAGAACAGACATCATAATCTGCTGAGTGCTCTGATTAGATTTACGTGAAGGTAGGAGTTAGCTTGTAGTTGTCCGTTGTGAACTGTTTAGCAGTGGAATTTGAACGAAATTTAATTTCAGAAATGATAGGATATGAAGTTACTATCCAAGATTTTGATGTATGGAAGGATGAAGGCTTGTTAACACAGTGTCGTTTGTTTTGTCGTGAAATATTCTGCCAAGAGTGCGGTTTACAGGAATTATCAGAAATTGATGCAGAGGATAGGAATAGTAGGCACATTGTGGTTCAGTTGACAGGTAACAACTCGGTGATCGGCATTTGTCGTCTACATTCCATCCAACCGTACATCAAGCTGGAGCAAGTTGCTGTCCGCAAGGTAAGCTTTCCTTGTGCATCTCTTTTCATTCCGAAATGAAGTCCATTGTATTGTAAAGTTGATGGTTTTGTGATACTTTTTAATTCGACTTATATAAAATATCTAGTCAATTTCAGAACTGGTTTGCTATATATCACCAGGTTCTTTTATTTAATTTTTATTAGAAAGAATTTCTTTATTAAAAATTGTTTATTTCCTTTTAGGACTGGCGAGGACGAGCTATGGGGTATCGCCTATGTCGACGTGCTATAGAGTTAGCAGAATGTTTCTACAGTAGGCAAGTTCTGGTAACATATTCACACTACAGTACTGTAAAGTTTTACGAACAACTTGGCTTCATGGTAGCATCAGACGAATTTAGGGATGCTGGTATTTTACATAAGGTACTACTCCTGTGTTCTGTAAAATTTGTAACGTAAAAAATTGCTATGAGCATGAACCTCTCAGTACACAATGCATTGAGCATAATGCATCGACACTGTAATGATGGGTTGAATCATTTGTAATACTGATCTTTGTTTTGAGGATAATCGAAGATAAGGATTTAATAACATTATTGTGATTTTTAAGATATTGTAGTGCTTTTCTCCATCTTCTAGACTGTTCTATTACTTTGAATCTATTTTTTTTTTCTTTTTTGCAGACTATGTTTTATTTTCCACGTCGAAATAAGTTACCTACATTGCATTTGTGGAGATTTGACGATGCTGATTGTAAATATACACCAGGTGATTGCTTTGATCCGGCTGTTATGGAGAGGATAAAAGAAACTATCATGTCATTCAAGGTTGATTAATTGTTTTTATTCAAAATTTCAATTCATTTTGTTTTTGCACCTCGTTTTTGCAAATTCATTTTGTTTAAAATAAATTCAGAGTTGATGAGATCCTTTTTGGTAACAGGTTTAGGCTAGTAGGTGAGATTCAATTACATTGACACAGACCGAGTATCTTAATCTTGTTGGGCCTTAAAAAATTTCAAAATGTTGCTCTTGCGTTCAACGATTACTCATATGGCCAGATAATCTCCAGCTCAGATTATCAATTTTAAAATGAAATATATGGAAACAGATTTAGGCACAAAACGTACCTAGACTAGTGCATCTGCAACACTTGCCAGAAGAAAGTGTCGTTGGTTGTTCGCTAATTCGAATTTATAAAGAATGCGCTCGAGCAACTTTAGCACAAAATTTTACGCGAAGTAAACAGTTAGAAAATTTTTTGGCGTCAATAGCGTGGGAAAAATTGAATACTGGCTATTATGAAGAGGTCGATGAAGCTTGGAGAGTTTTTTACACAGTCATTATGATGTGTAGAGCAGTACGTTTGAAATTAGAGAGACGAATAGAGGTAAGCATTTTTGTTGCTGACCTAATTTTAATGATGCTAACTGTATTTGATAGAATAATTATGTTGTTTGAACTGCTAAGCTTTATTTTTCAGTATTATAATGTGTATTAACTGGAATATTTATTATATTCTATATATTTTGTCATATGTTGACCGGATATATTTCTCAATATATTTTATAGGAAGCTTTGTTTGCTTGTGATATGGGTTTAATAATGGGTCGTGATGTTGATGGTTTTGCGCTGTCGAACTTTGCTCATCATTTGCATGCTTCTTTATCAGAACCAACAACTCCTGTTTCTCTAAAAGTAAGTCGTCAGTTGTTCATGAATTAATAGCAATTTCGCTTTCTGAAATTTTAAATAGGAAGTCAGTTTTTCTAGAAATTTCGTGTTAATATGCATATTATTATTGCCTTTTGCAGACTCAAAAGCTTTTGCAACCACCAGCTCCCTTACCGAACTCAATTTATGTTGATGTTTGCGAGCTACCATCGTTTGAAGAAATGTTAAAGATTATAAGAAATAAAAAACCAGTGGTCATACGAGGACTTGTAAATCAGTGGCCTGCATTTAGAAAATGGAAGTAAGGTGTCTAGAAAAACTATTGATCGTAAAAAAGCAAATTTATAATTATTCATCATATCTCAGCATTGTGCTATTATGCTACTAATCATAGCTTCCTTCTAGCTTCTCATATTTCAACGAGCTTATTGGTCATCGTACAGTACCTATTGAAATTGGTAACAGTTATGCCGATAGTGACTGGCAACAAGTTCTGATGACTTTTCGTACTTTCATTCAGAAATTCATAGAATGTGAGGTATGACATATTTTTAGTTTACTTATTACTTTTCCGAAGTTAGTGAAATTTGTATTTTTTGGTCTTGAAGTGTATTAGAACAGTGCAGTACATATATTTGATTTCTTGTTTTTCCGTCTTTAGCACATAAGTAACACCTGTTAAAAACTAATGCAGTTGTAATGAACGCAGAGAGTCATTTGCTATTCATCGAAACGGTTAAAATGACAGGTGGCGAAAGAACTGTTGCTATAAGTTGAGAATTAAGAATATGTGAAAATGTCGATCTGTTTATTGCTAAAGAGATGAAAAAAAAAAAGATTCCTAATATTTGTAAAAATATATTTAAATGGTTTAGTAAGGTTTGCAGAACTCAGATGGTCCAGGTTATTTAGCACAACATCGGTTGTTTGATCAAATTCCAGAACTTTTGGATGATATTATAATTCCCGATTACTGTTCATTTGGTGAAGATGGGCTTGACAATGTCGATATTAATATTTGGATTGGGCCATCAGGAACTGTATCACCTCTACATTTCGATCCAAAAAGTAACATGTTCTGCCAGGTAGTTTATTAATGAACGCAGTTTCTTTTTTTGGTGGAAATTTTGTAGGAAGAGATTAAGAATTCAAGTATTCAGGTGGTTGGCCGAAAGTTTTTACGTATAATACCTGCAACTGAAACTGAAAATGTGTACCCTCGACAGGATGGAATTTTGACCAACACCAGTCAGGTTTGCCTTATCATTTATTGTTTCTTTTGTTAAAAACGGAATTACCTTATATTTTTTAATGTATACTTATCGTAAGCTTGTTGGTGGATTTATACATTACTCACCGCTTTTCTGGTGTGCTCCTGCTTTACAGAGCAACAGTTGACTTTACACTGTCTGTAATATTAGAAATATTCTAAGTGGGTTTTTATCATGGAAGTTTGTGTGACGGAAAGACATTTACTGAATTTGGAATTTTATGTTCTTTCAAGTTTTCTTAATTTTAAAAGTCGGAAATCATTCAGCAAAATTGTATTATTCAGTTTAATGATTTACAGATTGATGTACGATGTCCAGATTTGACAGAATTTCCACGTTTTCGCGAAGCTCATGTCTTTGACTGTACATTGTATGCTGGTGATTGTTTGTTTATACCAGCTGGATTTTGGCATTATGTCTTCGCACTTGATCCGAGTATATCTGTGTCCTGTTGGTTCACTACCAAAATCTAAACTTGTAAACAAGTACTTTTGTTTGTTACACGTTTTCCTTTTCTTGTTCATGTTTTTCTGACAAACGGATGATTTAAATAAACATAACACATTAATTTGAATCCTTTGAATATTTAGAAAAGAACTTGCTAAGAAAAATTCGAACTAGTGAGACGTTTATTTCTTTGTATCGTGTTAAACGTTTCAAAATAGGCATTATAATCAAAGAGTTCAATACTGATAGCTGTCTAGAAAAAAACAACAATGCAAAAAGTATGAAAACTAATATGGATTTCGTCGTTATGTTTTCGCACTTGATCTGAGTATACTCATGTGTCTTCTATAGAATTTGTACTCTCTGAATAACATTCTTGAGCTGGTGAGCACAAAAAAAGCAGATTTAGAAGAGGGGGGCTCGCTTATCCTGTTGGTTGGACTAAGTGTAGAAAATATAGTGTCCCTTTATCCACTTATGATTGTCCACTATGCAAAAAATATGTCCTTTTGGTGAATCCAGGGTCAAAGTAATGGATATTTTTGTGAGACTTTAAAAGTCCTTCATGATGCTATTTTCTGCATAAGTGGATAATCCAGCTTAAGTACGACTACTAACAGGCATTGAGAAGGAGATAAATTTTGTTAAGGTTAAAAGGAAATATGAGATTATCTGAAGCTTATCGTTGGTTGATCCGTAAAAAAATCAGTTTATGTGAATTCATATTCTTTTGTTCAACTGATCTTTAAATAAATATAGATCTGAGATGGTAAATTTTAATTCAAATGAAAACAATAATAAGCTTGTTTCTCTGCTAATGTCTTTAAGGATTCATAACACTAGCTCTATAATGTATAGATACCATTTATAAAGGTCATGTTATAAATTTCATTATAATATATATATATATATATATGTATTAAACTTTAGCTTCTAATAAACTTTTTATACTTAGCTATTATTGTTTGTTTGATAATTTAGAAGAACAACTGAAAGTGAATAAAACAACTTATGCTTATAGGAGATTTGTTAGTAAACTGCTTGATATTATCTTGACAAGCAGTCAGTACAGGCGTATTTATCAAGAAAAGAAAAATGAAAATATGGTGAGAATTTCGGGTTCTTTTCCTTCATTTGTTTCATTAAGTAAATCCCAATTAACAATTGATGAACATTTAAAATAATCCTTGAGATTAGTTGGCCTAGCCGTAAACTGTGAGAATGATCGATGAGCGAACCTGTTTGCCAGCTATGTTTTTATTGCTTATCGTAATACGGAACTTTTAAATGGAATACAGATGGCCTCGTTTATTTCTTCTATGCGACCTTTGCCTTTTTCTGCTCTTCAGTTCACATTCTTTCTTTCTTTTTCTTTTTCCTTTTCTCTCCCTCTCCTCTTTTTCTCTCTCTACAGAGGATTTATTTTAGAAGATAAAGCGAAATATTTTATTGAACAGTGGATTGCATGCAGAATAGCTTATTCTTACTGTTATGAATACAGTAAAAAGGACTGTGGCAGATTTTATCGAAAGAGTCTTAGCAATTCAAAAATCCGACTCAAAATTTCGAAATGAATTTAGGTCATTATAGACTCAAAGTTTTTAATTTAGCTGATGTATTCTGTAAATGCATGTTTCTTGAAGTCTTTTTTTCCGCCTTTTTCGAAAATTATTTAGAATATTAATTTGTCCATCATAGCTATCTGATTTTATGTTTCATTTCTTTTATCTCTCCATATAATTCAGTCACCTATGAGTTAAAAGAAAGCCAAGTCTACATCTGATTTATCAATGATGTTTACATCATGTAGAACTCTGAGTTACAACTTGCTAATTTGAAATCCGTTAGTGTCTTTTGGGGTTTGAAAAGTGTTTTACTATGTGCAAAGCAGCAGGTAAATTAGCAAGTAAAGTGATTGCTGTTAAAATTGTTAAATTTTTACCATCCAGTCAACTTCACCATTACAATAGTTTTGACAAATGAAAGATCATTTGCGCTTATTGAGGATTTAATGAAAGATCAATGAAGAATCGTTCTCAAAAGTCTTATATGGTTGGCTGATGTGAAAATTTTTCCTCACAATTTTCCCCCATACTTGTAAAACATCATACCTTTTACATACCTGTAAAAGAGGAAACATAAAAAATTGAAACATGTAGTCGGATAGATCAAAGCAGCGCTCACATGCATTCTATCTTTTACCCTGTGTTGCTTTTGTAATTTTTGTAATAAAATTTCTATATGGGAAAAGATGATCCAATACTGTTTGTATGTCTGTCTATCCATTTCATTTTATCTTGATTACAAATATTTACGTATTTTTCTATCTATCGTTTACGTCAATTTTACGTGTTTCTTTTTCTTTCTGTTTCTGTAACCAAATTATTCAATAAAAAACTTTTTCTATTCGATATTTGCCGAAAGAGGAAATTCACAGCACGATGTGACGAAGATTTGTCCTCTATAACTGATGGATAGACTGTCAAAGCTATGAATTGTGGGAATTTTCATACTTAAGGGAATGTTTAGTTATATGCAATCTGAGTCTAACGAAGGTAAAATCATACATATCTCATAGAAATTCTCTATAAAATGTCTTTTCTCCGCGTTCTCGTTCTCTTTCTCTCTCTCATAGGTCCGAAAGATTTCTCTTAAAATATGCATAATTTTCACAAGATTTGATGAATTATCCATCAAGTTAATCTTTTAATACCTTTTCAAATAATCTTCTATGATATTGCATAACAGTAGAATTAATATAAGCAGATAGCATTCAATTGATATGCTCAAAAATGAATTGATAATTGAATGTTGCAATGCAAGTCATAAAAATTAATTTCATATCCTGTATCTAATATTTTTAATCTATCACCAACTGAAATGATAACAATAAATAACAAAAAAGATATCATAATGATAGCATATAAAAGACATAAGTAATTCTTACTTTTTTATCTTAACTTTTGTCGCTACTTTTCTACTGTTCCCTTCTTCCATTAATAGTTTATCTGTAAACTTTCTCTCTTCTAAGACAAATACTGTTCTCATTTTTTTCTAGTAAAGATTAATTATAATCAACTGAAATATATTTTTTTTTTTATTGCGTTCATTTGGATGAGATTTCTTTTTTACTATTTCATCCTTTTCTACTCGTAGTGTAGTAAAAACTTCACTTTTTTCTTTTGAGGAGTGACCTCAGAAATGTTTTGAAGTGCTTTTTTTTTTCTTTTCTTCTTAATCGATTGAGCAATGAATTAATGGTTTGGTATCAAATCAATGTCGGCTCCCTGTAATCGTTTGTTTTTCAAAACTATTTTGACAAATCTAACAATTTTTGTATAATTTCTTTTCAATTTGTCTTCCAATCACAACCACTTCGTTTCCCTTTTTTTTTTTTATCAAATGGATCGAAAATGTACCAAATTTCTAAATTTCTAAGCTGTCAATAATAGTGAATATTTCTATTTAACTATAAAATTTGAAAATTTCATCTTTTTTCAGTTTTAATAACATATTTTACTAAATAGGCGATAAATATTTTTTCTAATTTATGATTATATAATCTTACCTTATGTAATCTTGTTATAAACTATCTAAATAGCTAATTATGCATCATTTGAAAAGAATTATGAAGAACACTGTAGATGTTTCTGCATATTCCTCCGATAAGTTTACCTATTTTGATCTACCAAACACTTCATTTGCTCTAATAATTGAGCTATTTGAAATAAAAGAGCTAATTAATCAGTTCAGTTCTAAACTAACTGATTTGTATCTGAATCAATCTTAAAATTGTAAATAATAATTCAAATGAAAGGTAGAAATAGTCCCTCACGAAGAAACATTACTATGAATAGTCGATTTGGTTAAGTGCTCGTTGAGGTAAATTGAGAATAGTTGGCGGTTGTCATCGGGCAATTAGGTTTGTCCTTGAGGTGTTCTCCATTTTTGCTACTTGGACTACTCCAAAATCCAAGTGTCATCGGTACCAATCTCCTTTCGTCATCATCATTATCATCATTGCCAAGCTTATTATCCAATAGTTTGGGCGTCGCACTACTGTGAATCCGATAAATGACTCTTCAATTTAAAACTGTGTAAATTGTTAAAGCATTATGGAATGACTGTTGCTTGTATCAAAAAATTATCACTTATTATCATCGCTATCGATAGCGATAATCCTCTTACTTAACAATGATGTTGTTATCAGTATCTTTAGGCAAATTTCTGTAGAAGTCTAGAATTATGTACATTAGCTAATCAGAATTCATGAAAGCATTCATTTTTAATATTCAAAAATTTTGAAATATAATATATATAGTTAATGCAGAAACGGAAAAGAGATATTATCCCACTGATGATTAAGCAGTTTTTACATTAACAAACGGAAATTCGTTTTAATCCAGCTAGAATTTCTATAAAGTGACGATCTTATCACTCTTTTGCACTTGTCCATTGTATGGATTTGTATACGTAAGTATTTCATATCATCGTGAGCGTATGCTCATCGTTTTATGTATAGTTATAACATCGTGAAAAAATGGGTTATAACGAAGTGATTGAAAAATAGAGATTGAAATTTAAAGAATTTCAATAAATTTATTTTTTGATTTGAAAAATCTTTTAAGCGTAATAATTACAAGATATGACGATTAGTGATTGGTGAAGTGTGTGTGTGTGTGTGTGTGTGTGTGTGTATGTGTATGTGCATAACACTAAAGGTAAATGAAATTATAGCCAAGCAAGAAAAACTAATTTATAAATCATTCGGAAATGACTGAATAATAAACTTGTCTTTTACGTCTATTGTGTACTTCTGCTTCATTAAGAGTCAGTGTTTAGATTGGAAACAAAATTTAAGTTTGTATACTTTAACGATTGTCAAGAAATTTTCAAAATATTCGAGTAGATTATGAAATTTATTAATATAAATTTAGATTTTGAGCATTGGAAAATCATGAAGTTATAATTTTATTGATATTTTGTGGAAATGTTTTTTTTAGATTTCAAAATTATATGAGAAATT